CGCCATCTGAAGCAAAGAGCATACTTCCTGCGGACACTTTTTAGGCTGAGTGGCCCATCTTGTCTTGTACTATCTTTGGTTACGGTAAGGATTCGAATCCACCGACTGTCGGTGTTCAGTAACTTGCCCTTTTGGAATTATGACTATGCCAAATTACTATAGAAATCAGTTGTCACCAAAGACGGCACAAATATTTGCCTGTAGATAAAGACGCATCTAAAATAACCAGGGCTTAGACTATACTTTACATATTCTAGTTTTTGGGGTGTTTTTTTAGGAGGGACTATATCTACATCAAAGATAGAGATACATGTAGATCTACTTAATTGAAAACGGCGCAATGAGACTCTGGGGACCAGAAGTGCTATTGCTTGCCTTAGTCATTATGTTGTGTATTTTTCATAACCGCTTTAGTTATTGAACGTGTCTTCATTACATATATTGTGAGATGCGAAACAGATCAATGAAAAAAAGGAGAGGAGGTCAAGGTTAAGTCGTGTATCATCAGAACGATAGGAAAGAAGCGAATGATTTTCCTTGGACAACTATGTCGTTAGAATTTAATGCTTTGAACACATGGCATTGAGAGCATATAGAAGGAAAGCAAAAAACAGAAAAGGGGACTGCTTGCTTGCCACATTCTAGTATTCATAGACGGAATAGGAGGCTATTTTGAACTAGAAATACAATTAATGTCTTTTAGTATATTTTAAGTATGTAATGAGTATGTTTTTATACTTTATCTATTGAATAAACTGCTGAAGCCTCACGACGTTGCCCACTCACTTGAGAAATTAACGAAACAATATGTGCAATTATCTAATGACATGTCGAGCCTTGAAACATGGGCATATGCTCAGAATCATAACAGTAGGGGTTTTTTTTCTTCAGGCATTCTGTCACTTGAAAAAGAAGGCGAATGAATACACTTCTAAATATGTTTTTGAGTCCGAGAAAGATCGTGGGTGATCCGTGGAGGTTGGGGGGGGGGGGGCACAGTCGTTTAGACTGAAGCATAATAATGTATACAAATAATTGAGCTGTGGAGCCTACAGATTGTTGGATATATAATGTCCACAGACACTATTCTTGAAGCCCCCATCAGTTCATTTATATACGTAATCAATTTTCAGCCTCTCATTGTTTCTAAACGTAGTTAAAAAGTGAGAGTATAGTGAACTACAAGAAAAATGGGCGAGCCCTCACCTGGTATCCCCTCGGGAAGATGATGAGTTTGTCCCACTTGATCTTTCCAAAATCCACGTACATCTCCACCCTTCGACAGCTGTTTCTCTTCCACTTACTTCTCTTAGTGCGTCTCCGGAGAGCAGTTTGAAGGGTTGGAGAGGAGAGACTATCTACATGTCTCCTGAAACGCCTCTTTCTGGTGCGTTCCTCCCGCATCAGCATGTGGTTATCAAACCGATTAATGACATCCGTGTCTCCCCCCTGGTTATCGACATCAGTGTGGGCACCATGTACTGACCCTCTGACGTCATTAGATGCCCGAATTCTCCCATTTAATGATTCCTTCGTCCGTATTGAATTTCTATGCCCAAATGCGTCTTCGTTTATGTTTTCACCAACGGATCGGGCGTGGAATGTTGTGCTATCAAAGTTGTTGAACTTTGCTTCTTGCATGAGGCTTCTAGACAAATCATTGCCAAAAATACTCCCTAAGTGCAATATTTCCTTGGATACAGAATCAACTCCTGATTCTTCAACCCCTTTGTAAAATTCTTTACTGTCTCTATCGTCATCACGTGCGTCTTTCCCTGTTGGTGAATGTTGTTTTGATCTTGTCTTCTCGCCTTGCGTACTCAGAAACTGTGCGCTTTGTTTACGTTTAGGAACGTCCACCTTCCTTCTGAACTCGTCCTCCGAGTTATCACGAAAGCTGTGAAAAGAAGATCTTACGTCTCTTCGTATTCTGTCTTTGGAAACGTCTGGCTTAGTTTTCCTAGAAAACACAACTAGCAATGGATCTTTGCCACTCTCTGTACTAATGGCAACCCTGGGACGACCCGAACCATCACTTTCATCGTGAATCTTGTATTCAAGGCGAATTTCAAACACTCGCAGGCCCGACGAGTGCCACTGTTTCACGTCTGAAGACACGTTGAAACTCTCCCAATCGCCTTCTCCAACCTGAACGTCCCCGGAATACACTAGTATCGTCGTTGCGTTGTCAAAATTTTGATCGGAAGCACTGGAACTAAGTAATTCGTAAATATTCACTCGAACAACACTAGGACTTATTGGTGGAGTCTCTAAGCTTCTCTGCGTTTTGTGCTCGATGTCTGACGTGCTGTGCTCCATCTCTGGAGTTGTGTGTTCCAAGTCTGAGCTGGTGTGTTCCTTGTTTGGAGTGGTGTGTACCACATCTGGAGTGGAGTTGTCCGTGTCTGGGAGTTGGGGAACGTGCTGGGAGAGGAACAGGCGGATCTCTGCGTACTCCACGACCTCGCGGTCCTCTGACAACACGGCCTCGAACGCTAGAGTATTGGTCAAGATGACAGCGTCGCCCTCTGTCGTTTGCTGTGTTTCTGCGGAGATTAAATACAATATTACTGAAAAGGTTAATGTATCTCCAGACTTGCTCAAAACGTTTAAAGACCAAACCCCATGGAAATATGTTATAT